TCCAGTTCCTTATAAAGTGGAACGACATTACAGGCTCCTTTGGCTGATTTCCTTTCCTCCTAGCTCTTTGGGGAGTCCCATAAAAGCCTCAGTCTTGCCCCCTCCCTGGCACCCAAAAGAGAATCTACCATATTGTACTTTATGAGGGCACAAGACTCCCCACAACATGGGGCTGAAGTCATCAATGTTTGAGCAAGACTGTCCAATGGAATTTTCTGTGATAATGAAAATATCTCTGCACTGGTAGCCACTAGGCATGTGTGGCTATTAAGCACTAAAAATATAGCTAGTGTGACTAAGGGAATTTTATTTGATTTTTTTTTATATATATATATATATCAGTTGGCCAATTAATTTCTTTCTATTTATAGTAGAGACGGGGTCTCGCTCTTGCTCAGGCTGGTTTTGAACTCCTGACCTTGAGCAATCCGCCCGCCTCGGCCTCCCAAGAGCTAGGATTACAGGCGTGAGCCACCGCGCCCGGCCCTGATTTTTATTAATTTAAATCTTAAGTACCCACTTGTGGCTGGTGACTATCATTGAACAGAGCGACTTTAGAGCTATTCCACTCAATTCCTTTGTTTAGTCTAAGAGTCACACCTTGTTCATAGTTCAATTAAAGGGCAATGACAGGCCAGGTGCAGGGGCTTACACCTGTAATCCTAGTACTTTGGGAGGCCGAGGCAGGAGGATTGCTTGAAGCCAGTAGTTTGAGACCTGGCCGAGGAAGAGCTAGACCCCATCTCTACAAAAACTAGCTGGACATGGTGGCATGCACTTGTTGTCCCAGCTACTAAGGAAGCTGAGGCAGGAGAATCTTTTGAGCCCAGGAGTTTGAGGTTGCAGTGAGCTATGATGATGCCACTGCACTCTAGCCAGGGCAACAGAATGAGACCCTGTCTCAAAAAAAATAAAAAGTCAATGACACCCATTTGAAACAAAAAAATGATCTGTCTCTACTATGCATGAACTATCAGTTTATCAGCTCCGTCCACTTTTGGAATATTTAATGATGACTTACAGCCACAGGAAAAAGGGTTTGTCACATTAGTTTCCTCCCATAAAAACCATACTAATACTTAAGTCATACATAAAAGCATATTTGTCATATGCTTTTTTTGTCATATGCTTTTAAGTTATTAAGTCATACATAAAAGCACATATTTGAGGTAGAAGAAGTACGCATTCTTTCACACTTGCACTTAGTGTGTCTTTTCTTGAAGATAAGAGGGGGAAAATACCTTACATTTTCTCCCCAGAGGCCTGCATAGAATAGGCACTGAGAGTCCTTTCCACTCTGTATAATTCTAGCACATCCAGCTCAGTCCTGAGATATCCCAGTGCTGGGGATGACTTAAAGACTTTTAACTTTGATTTAAAAGGCACTCTCCATACATTCAAGTTTCCTGCTTCCAAGCAATCTCTACTTTAAAGCTGGTTGGCACATGAAAACAAAATACAAAAGCTTCTCTGCACTTCCTCCTGAGAAAGGATCTAGAGAGATGTAAACCCAGTTCTAGCCCAGTCATTCTTCCCTCAAAAAGTTCTACATCTTACATGTTTTCATTTCACATCTTACATGTTTTTAGAGAAGTGAGAGATTCTGTTGTCCTGTCTTGGCGCACTGAATTTCCTATATGGTATAATTTAGAATACAGCTCCCAAAGCCTTTGGCACTTAACACACTGTTTTATGGGTAATTGTTTATGCTTCTGCCTCTTCACTATATTTTTCATCCTTTCATTTATCCTGCAAGTACTAAGCACCTATTCTGTGCCGAACTCTGTTCTTGACATTGGGAACAAAGCAGAGAACTGAACAGACAAGGTCCCCCATGAAACTTAGTCTCTAGTAGGGGAGACTAATAATAAATGCATAAACAAATATGCAAGATAATTTCAGATAGTGATAAGTGTTATGAAGAAAATAAAAATAGGGTAATGTTACTTCAGGAGGCCAAGGCTGGAGGATTGCTGGAGTCCAGGAGTTTGAGGTTGCAGTGAGCTATGATGACACCACTGCACTCTAGTCCAGGTGACAGAGCAAGACCCTGTCTCCAAAAACAAACAAAAAAATAGGGTAATGTGATCAACTGATGGGGAATCTCTTTAGATCCTATGGTTAAGAAAGGCCTCAGAAGAAAAGTTTGAGCTGATCTCTGAATACAAAGTTGCCAGCTGGGCAAAGCCAAGAACAGCCTAGGGTGGCAGCAGATAGAAAGTCTCTGTTTACCACTAGAGCAGTTTCTTTCTTTCCTTTTGGTAATTGTATTCTTAGTGTTTAACATAATGCTTGGCTTTGAAGAACACTAACAATAAGTAACATTTTTTATCACAAATAAGTATACTAAATGTTTTGTTGAATTATCTTGGTGAATCTTCACAAAACACAGCCAGAGGAAGAAATTAAGAGATACTAAATAACTTGCCCAAGGGCATACAATGTATTAGTGGCAAAGCTAAAACTGACCTTAACACAGATTTCTGACTCCAGAATTTATGCTTCTAATTAACCAATGAGTCTCATTGAGCACCAGCATCTGCATTGCTTCCTAAAAATTCAGCTTTCTAGCATCAAGCCAAACCAGTTGAATTATAATCTTAGAGGGTAAGGATTAGAAATCTGATTTGTTTTTTTTCGTTTGTTTGTTTTTTGGGTTTTATTGTTTTTGTTTTTGTTTTTTTTTTTTGAGACAGAATCATGTTCTGTTACTCTGGCTAGAGTGCAGTGGCATTATCATAGCTCACTGCAACCCCAAACTCCTGGGCTCAAGCGACCCTCCTGCCTCAGCCTCCTGAGGAGCTGGGACTATAGGTGCAAGCCACTACACCCCGCTAATTTCTTTCTATTCTTAATAGAGACTCGGTCTCACTCTTGCCCAGGCTGGTCTCAAACTCCTGAGCTCAAGTGATCCTCCCTCCTTGGCCTCCCAGAGTGCTAGAATTACAGGCATGAGCCACTGCACGCCCCCCCCCCACCAAGAACCTGAATTTTTAACAAGCCCTCTAGATGATTCTTATGCACCCTGAAGTTTAAGACCACTGCACTTTGTTGAAAGAATAAACGGAACAGACAAGTCCTCTGCTATTTGTACCACTTTGCCCCACATCTCGCAAATTCCTAAGCTCCTAAACTATAAATACCAGTTCTCTTAAACTAAGTCTTTATAATGATCAGCTTAATAATGTGTTACAAGAAGGAAGAAATCTCAGAATATTCTGGGTCCCGCAGGAGGACTAAAGATAACCGCCCCCATCGGCATCCTCCCATCCATCCTCTGCCACTCCCCCGCCCCAGCCTGGTTTTAACTTAACCAAGGGGATGATCTAAAATCAGACAGCTCCAGGACATCAGACACCATTTACCAGTTCAAGTAAATTCTACAGCCAGGCTCCAGATTTGCCTCCTCTGCTGAGCATGCCTGAAGTGCACTCAGGAACTCTGAGCGCAGCCAGCCACTTTACCTCCCGTGTCCCCAAACCCACATATCTAAAGCAGACCCAGCCAAGCTCAACTGCAATCCTCCAAACTGAAGGAGATCTGGGGTTGAGCTACATTTTCCCTGGACACTAGGTTGGGGCCAGACTCAACCTCAGAGTAGAGGAATGCCCTTTTTGGCCTGTGTCACATAGGTTTAGGGTTGCCGGATAAAATACAGGACATCCAGTCTTGCCCCAAATATTGCATGACACGTACTTATTCAAAAAAAAAAATTGTTATTTATCTTAAATTTAAATTTAACTAGGCATCCTGTTTTTTTATTCTTGATATCTGGCAACTAGGCCCTTTGCAGGAGCATTCAACCAGTGGTATTGTCTCCACAAACATCTTAAGCATCCAATTGGAAGGAACACCAACAAGGGGAGATTTCAGGGGGAGACAGCTATAACAGGAAGCCCAAAGAGTGTGTGTGAGCCTGCGCAGGGGTAGTTCTGTCGCTTTTTAATTATGAGAGAACCGAGTGCAGACGGAGCTCATGCGAAGAACTTGGGGTTTTTAGCACTACTTACCTCCTTCACTGTCCCCGAAATGTGTGACCAGGATTACTGTCCTATTTTATAAGACCCCCAGAGACACTCTGCTTGGACATTACATGCCAATACTCAAAAACCTAGCAAGAAGGGCCCCACTAGGTCAAACCAATTTGTGGAGTTTCATCAGTGAGCGACCACCCTGCAGCCCAGGCCCACTCAGAGGGACCCGGGGCCTGGAGCCCCGCCCCCCGCGCCTGGAGCCCCGCCTCCCCGCCCAGCGGCGGCGCTGGCCACGCCCCTTTTGTTATCCGATACTTTTCTGGGTCAGCTGGTGCTGGCGTCAGGCGGAGGGATGGGCTGGCTGTGCTTGACCCGGCAGGGCTTGTTTACTATGGCTGATGATCTGGAGCAGCAGTGAGTTAATTCTGTCTCTCTCTTTTCTCTCTCCCTCTCTCTGGGCCATGATCCTGGGACTGTCTGTGGCCGAGGAACTGTTTTAGACACCTTCCCGCCTTTCCTTTCTCAGGTCGGCTTCCGGGGAGGACTGGGGGTTGCGTTTGCTTGCTTTGCTTTTCGCTCAGAAGAGGCGGCCGCAGAGCCTGGGGAGCGATGGTAGATGAGCTTGCCTGCAGCTCAGTCATTCTGACTTTGCACGTTCGTCTACGCGATTGCCCCTCACTCTCCTCTAGCCGCTGTGCTCAGAGATTAGATTTAGTGGTAATATGTGAGATCCCCCAAAAGCAAGCTTGTGGGACGCGGGGGCGGGGGCGGCAGCCAGGTGGGCTCGTCTCGACCTGCCCGGTTCGGTAGTCGTGGGCGTGGAAAGAGCCTCTTCCCTCGGCAAGGAGGAGGCGCAGGCAGAAGGCAGAGGTCTCCACCGCGTTAGGACTGGCATGGAGTGATGGGCTTTCAAGTTTCTTTAGCTCTTGCCCACAAAGACACACAACCGCTTGTGGTCCTAGATGATAATGGTTTTAATCATTATAACCACATCGTTGATGCTGTGGTTTCAGAATTAGAGCTATTGAGATTTGTTACCACTGTCTCAAAGGCATCAGGTTTGGGATGCCACCTGTAGGTGGTGTAACTACCAGTTCGAAATCTGATAGGAGCAAGCAAAAGTTGTTTCTAGAAGAATGACTCAGCTCCCAACCAAGCGTTGCTTTCACCAGAACAGGGCCTTTCCTGGACCTGGTACTCCCCCTTTCAGACCTTCAGAACTGACATCCTGCAAAACTAATTATGGCTATAATAAATAATTCCCAAGGCTTGAAGGAAATGCCCAGAAGAATGGTGCCTTCTAAGATAACTTTTCCAAGGGGAAATTTGCAAAGCCTAAAATGAATTAACCAAGCAGACTATTAGAGCTGGAAGAGATGCAGATAGTTCAGCTCCTTTGTACAACTGAAGAAGCTGATATCCATAGAAATTAGGGGATTTGCCCAAGATCACAGAGGTCTAGAACAGGGTCCTCTCACAGCACAGAACCCCTTCTGTTTCACCCCCATCAGGGTGGAAGAGAACACCCTAGCCAAGCGAAGTTCATGGCTAAGTAGCTTCTCTGCTCCTTGCCTCAATTTCCCACCCCATTCCCCTCGTCCCCAATAGTATTGCGCATATGCAGTGTGCCAGGTGACATTTCCAGTGCTTTACCTATGACATTTTTTGCAGAAGAATGCAAAGTACATCTCCCCACAAGGAATATCTGCTGAGCAGTCCATGGTGCTGTTCCATGAGACAGCATTTCTCCTCCAATGCATTGGGTAGTTACAGGGCAAGGTGGGATCCAGATGTTATGGTCTGACTTGTCACAGTATCTATGATTCAGAGAGAAAGTTTGTCTCTTAATACTGGCAAAATTCCAACCCCAGGTCTTGGTCCCCATACTTCAAGCCTATGAGGAATTCCAGTAGAGTATTAAAAGGGTTCTGAGTCTCTCTGTGATTAGATTGATTGAGACTCACTTGGCTAAAGCCATCAATGTATTACTCCCAGCTGCAACCCCAGTTTTGCTTTCAGATTTCAAATATTCACTGAGAGTTGCTACTTGCAAAACACTGGGAATGTAAACAGCTGTGGGGAAAGAAAGTTTATTGGGAGTTTATCTTGTGCTAGGCATTATTCTATGTGCTTTAGATACACTAACTCATTTAATCCTTATAACAACCCTGTGAGGACTTCGCTTTTAAAGATGAGGAAGCTCTTACACAGAAAGACTAAATAATGCGCCCACAGTCACATTGCTGGTAAGTGGCAGTGCTAAAATTAGAACTGTGGCTTTAGATCACACCTCCCATCAGAAAACAGAGATACGTATGAACATGTGGTTAAATACTGTGAGTATTTATGTATGGCCTTGAAAGGCTGAGGCTGGAAGGTCCATGGAGGTGCTGAGAAATCTGGATTTGAGATCTGGGTTTAGGTTTGAGTTCTTTTTCTAACTTGCTGTATTATGTCTCTGGGCATTAGTTTGCTCATTTGTAAAATAACGAGCTAGACTGGATGATTTCTAAGGAAACTTCCTAATCTAAAATTCTGTGCTTCAAATGATGTATTAGGATGCCCAGTATGTGCTAAGGGGGTTTGGTAATGGTTCCCCTCATTTCCCCACAAAATGCCCCTGCCTTGACTGTGCTGGTGTTCACAGGCCCTTCCTGTAGCTGTTGATGTCTGTCCTGTAACCCCACTTCACCCAAACAGGGTTCAAGAAAATAGAAATATCATATGGGATGGAAAAGAAATAATAAAAACTGTTTTTTATTGTGCATCTAAGTAGTTCTGGGTACCTTACAAGGTCCCTGACATATCCAAATGCTCAAAGACAGGTTTCTAATGGGCCAAAGTTCATCAGTGATAGTACTATGATTCAAATCCAGGAGTTTTTTTATTCCAAAGCTAGTGCTTTTAGTCTCTATCTTGCAATGACTTACTTAAAGTCACTGAGTATGAAGGAGAAAGCAGGATGGGTTATCTTATCTGTCATACTGCATGCTATGGGAGCTGAGGACATAGGTGAGCGTTCTACTACTCATTCTACAATTTGAAAAACAAGGCCAGAGGCAACCTGCATCCTATCAGTGAGTCATAGCAGAACTTGAACCCAGGTCTCCCACCTCCTGCTCCCTGCCTGCTCCATCTCCATGTTAAGGGCTGGATGGATTGATTACCTGAGAGCTCAGGTAATCTGGGCACTGACACAATGCCCCATATTTCTAGGGGCTTGGAAGAGGGTACACACAAATGCCAGTGTCCTGCCAGGAGGGAAGGTGACATGGGAATTTGTCTGTCCTACCCTAAAGGAACAGCTAGTCCTGGGGATGACAAACAAACTGAAACATTAATTGCTTATCCTCCCCTTTTAATCTCCTTGAACATAAATTATGATAACCAGTAACAAAGGGAAGTTATAAAGCTCAAGCGAGATAATAAATGTGAAAGAGCTTTGTAAACTGTAAAGTATTTGTACACATGATGTTCTTACTATCTGTTGCAACAAGAGTCATGTTGTTAATAACCATGTACAAGAGAAGAATAACTTTCTATCTAAGGCAGCTAGGGAATTGCTGACTGCCATAGTGGGCAGGTCTTCTGAGGCTGGGAAACACCCTGCCTCCTGATAACTCTTGTACCTGTCAGCAAGGCTGAGAGCATCAATGTTTCCTTGTCAGTGTTGCCAACAAGTATCTCTGTGTCTCCTCATCCCAGGCCTCAAGGCTGGCTGAGTAGCTGGCTGCCTACTTGGCGCCCCACTTCCATGTCTCAGCTGAAGAATGTGGAAGCCAGGATCCTCCAGTGTAAGTAGAAGGGCAGCTTGTCCCACCTCCCTCAGGGGCCCAAGAAGGGTGCAGGATCTTCCCAGAGCCAGGTACACTGAACCCACTGATTCTTGATTAACTGTGCTTTGGGTAGGAGGAAACGATGTCAGTGATTTGAGGGAAGAGAGTCACACAGAGGGCACGATAGTCTGTTATGGTGGTTTCTCACCTTCTCCCTCACCATATGCTAGTTCCTGCCACATTGTACAACTTCACCTCAAACCCTATACCAATGTGGATCAACACACACAGACATCCACGCTCTCCTCCTCCCTCCTTCTCCCCCATTTTCTCTCTCTTTCCTTCTCTCCCTCTCTGTTCTAAACACACAAACACGTCTTAGATTTACCACCTGCCTACCCAAAGGCCAGCAATCCTGCATTCTCTAATGTGCCATATGTTCTACCTGGTTTTAGCCCACCACCTATCTGGCCACCCCAGTAGTTTGGGATTTGCAGACCAGCTTCCATGGGCACTGTTGCTTTGGGGCAGGGCATCCCATGAGCAGTAACAGCTCAAACAAGACCCATGGGCCATGGCTCCCTGTATTTCCCATATGATCCAACTGCCCCAGCCATGGCCACGCTTGCTCTTATGGGCCTGAGTCAGAGCAGACGCAGAGCAGCCACAGCTTTCAAGCCTCTGCCCAGCGTCTAGGTCGCTCTGCCACGTGACTGCCATTGCACCAGCAGGGCAAGCTGTGCCCACCTCAGTCTCTAAAAGGCCCAGCGCACACCCATCACCCTCTCCACCTGGCTGGACCCCAGTTCTGTCCATCTGTCAAGCTCCAAGCACACACAGGTTCAAGAGTGTTGGGCATAAGAGCTGTGTGGAGTGTCACTGCCACCCTGGGCCCAAAGGGAGCTGGAAAAACAGCCTCCAGGAATAAGATGGCCCTCATTACCTATGGAGTAATCTATAATCTATAATTAATCTATAATTTTTGCTTGGAGTTGAATTCTCTATGATGTGTAGTGTCAAAGGAAAAATTCTTTTGACACATTAAGTTGGTTCTTACCAAGACTATTCAAGACTATTGCAGTAGTGGAGAGAGATGGGGCTCAACTCCAAATACGACAGGGACAAGTGGGGACTTATAACCAAGAAGCAGGGTGAGAGGGTCAGTGGATGGGGAAGTACTCAGAGGAGACATCAAGGATAAGGGGGTTCTTGCTAAACGGACTTAACAGGGTTCTTGCTGAAGAAAGGTCAAGGACTTACACATCAAAGGTCGGGGAGGAGCCGCTTGCTCAGAAATGAAGGGCGAGGGGATTCTTGCTAAGGCTGGGCTAGGCAGGCCAGAGAGGCAAGAGACGGGGTCAGGGGCCAGGCCTAGCCAAGAAGAGGGCTCAGAAGAGCTCACCTAAAGTGTGGTCAAGGAGAGAGTCTTTGTCAGTGGTCAGAGTTGTGGCAGGAAAGAGCTGAGGGAGCGTGAGAAGGGTCTGGAATGGAGAGAGACATCTGAAGCGTGTCTCAGATGTCTTCAGAGACATCTGAAGACATCCAGGCAGAATGACGGCCATCGGGAAGCAGTCTTGATTCACCCTGGGATTCTCCCCATGCCAGGTCTCCAGAACAAGTTCCTGGCCAGATACATTTCCCTCCCAAACCAGAACAAGATCTGGACGGTGACCGTGAGCCCCGAGCAAAAGGACCGCACGCCCCTGGTGATGGTGCATGGCTTCGGGGGCGGCGTGGGCCTCTGGATCCTCAACATGGATTCGCTGAGTGCCCGCCGCACGCTTCACACCTTCGACCTGCTCGGCTTCGGGCGAAGCTCCAGGCCGACGTTCCCGAGGGACCCAGAGGGGGCTGAGGACGAGTTTGTGACCTCCATAGAGACGTGGCGGGAAACCATGGGGATCCCCAACATGATCCTCCTGGGGCACAGTTTGGGAGGATTCCTGGCCACTTCTTACTCTATCAAGTACCCTGAAAGGTAATGAGCTACCTGCCCTCGTGACCCAATTCCTTGCCTTGCTGGGAACTTTCCTGGATTCTTTTCGGATAATTCTCTCCTTTCCCCCAGATTGAAAGGCTCTGGTGCTTTCAAAAGAATACAATGTGTCTTCTCTTTTCTCCTTTAATGTAGAGTAAAACACCTCATCCTGGTGGACCCGTGGGGCTTTCCCCTCCGACCAACCGACCCCAGTGAGATCCGTGCTCCCCCAACGTGGGTCAAGGCTGTGGCATCTGTCCTAGGGCGTTCCAATCCTTTGGCTGTTCTTCGAGTAGCTGGGCCCTGGGGTGAGTAGCCTGCAGATGAAGAGACTATCTCCTTAAACCAAGTCTGTCCCATTCTGGAAGCCCCACTGCATCTGCCCCACTTACTCATAAAAAGTGAGAATGGGCCTAGCATTATTATTTAAAGCTATTCATCTGAACCAGATCTCTTTGTTTGAGGTTTCAGAAGGTTCTTCTCCCTACTTCATGTGCATGGAAAAAGCTTTCCTAGGCAAGATACAGATGGAGCAGTACAGCTACCCCATGCCTTGGCTAGGCCCCCAGAGAGAGGAGGCGACTGTGAGGAGTACTATGAGGTGACACTTCCTCTGCTACATACATGAGTCTTTATGACAACCTGTTGGTGATTCAGACACAGTAACCACTGAATCCCACCCTCATGGGTCACCCAGCACCTGCAGGAGGTAGAGCAGGACCAGAGCCTCCAACATAACCCACCATGGCAGGGAAGCCCCTCTGAACCATGCCCTGCTCCAGGCAAGCACCACATCTTCACCTGCTCTGTGCCGCCTAGCACTTAGTAGCCATCAGCAAATTCTGGGGCTAAAAGGGAGGGAAGGAAGGTAGGGGCAAGAGGAGCCAGCCACAATGAACAGTGTCAGTAGCTCTGGCTTTCTGACCTCACACTGCCAGCACCCCTCCCTTCTGGAGAGCTTATAACTCTGCTGAAGTGAAGCTTGGTGACCCCTATCTTGTACTGATGGCTTGTGTTTACATAGTAATGTTCAGTAGCCAATTATTATGAGTTAATTGCTAATAGTGAAAGAAGAGTTCTCTCTCTAGGCCCTTGAATTAAAAAAGAATGGCTCCAGATAAATAAAACAAAATGAGTATTTGAGTAGAAGGCAGGAGTTTAGGAGTTCTGAGAGAAAGGAAGGCTCCCAAGAGACACAGGTGCCAAAGGAGAGAAAGTGAGCAGAGGGCGGGCCTTCTCAGGTTCCCAGCATTGTAGACTCTAGCAGAACCTCTGTAGTCTTTTTCTAGGGAGAAGCCCTGCTCAAGCACTCTCATTTTCTGGCCGTGCATCTGGCCAGGTTCCTGTGTGGGCATCAGAGGTATTCTGGTTGGGGCAGTTGGCTGGCAGCCATGGGGGACTGTGCCAGGAGGGAGGGCCAGCACCAATGGAGATCTTTGCTGCACCTCCCTCTCACCCCTTTACTGCTCACACAGAGAATACCAGAAAAGAGAGATCAAAAGTTGACCAGCAGGCCCAATTTTTGCAGTCTGTTTTTGCTTGCATATATTCCATAAAGAAAGGTGAAAGGAACAGATTGTTCTAAAAGAGTGCTCGGAGTCTGAGGCACCAGTGTTGTGAAATTCACCTCACCATGTATTCTATTACAGGTTTGAACATGAGAGGGCTCATGGGAGGTGGTCTAGTTTCATCCGCTACCATCAGAAGATTAGAAGGCCGTAGGGTTTCAGGGAGAAAAAGGACACAGACTGTGAAAGAAGAGCATCTCAACTATGCACTCAGGGGGAGGGCTTGTGATCCTTGCAGGGAAAGATATTGGGACTTCATTGAGCTGAAAATAACCTGGTTCCTCAGTGATGTTAGACTGTCTTTAAATTCTTTGGCAACCAACTGTCCTTCGAAGCCTTCCCCACTCTTTCTGCCACTGTAATGTTAAAAGTATAAAGCAAACAAACCCTTAGGAGAAATACTGTTTGGTTAAAGTCATTAAAACATACACAGGCAGGAGTCTTGTCACCCAACCCCCACCCAAATTGGCCACTCTGGGTTTTTCTATTCCCTCCCAGGGCCTGGCCTGGTGCAGCGATTCCGGCCGGACTTCAAGCGCAAGTTTGCGGACTTCTTTGAAGATGATACCATATCAGAGTATATCTACCACTGCAATGCACAGAACCCCAGGTGAGGGCGGCTCCAAGGCTAGCTCGGGGTGGATGGTTTGGAGATAAAACTTCAGCTACTGGAGTTCTATGTTTTATTTTTTCTTTCAACAAAGCTCTGCCTCAGGGGAACACAGGCACTAATAGTCTTGATCATTTCCAGAGAGTTCCCCAGGGATAGACACAAAAGAATATAGAAGATAATAGATTAATTAAACATGCTGCCCATCTCTAGAGGAAGGTCTTCCCTCTTCCCTACAGACAGGCAGTTGGCCTGATGGGCAAAAGTCTGGAAAACATTTTAAAAGATCTTTTTGTAAAACTGAAAAAGTGATGATAAAAAAAAAATAAATAACATGGTATTTTTTTAAAAGGAAAGGAAAGAGGTCTTCTGTCTCAAACCTGCAGTCCCCAAATTTTTTTTTTTTTTTTTTTTTTTGAGACAGAGTCTCACTTTGTTGCCCAGGCTAGTGTGAGTGCCGTGGCGTCAGCCTAGCTCACAGCAACCTCAAACTCCTGGGCTCAAGCGATCCTCCTGCCTCAGCCTCCCGAGTAGCTGGGACTACAGGCATGCGCCACCATGCCCGGCTAATTTTTTTTTATATATATATCAGTTGGCCAATTAATTTCTTTCTATTTATAGTAGAGACGGGGTCTTGCTCTTGCTCAGGCTGGTTTTGAACTCCTGACCTTGAGCAATCCGCCCGCCTCGGCCTCCCAAGAGCTAGGATTGCAGGCGTGAGCCACAGCGCCCGGCCCCAAATTTCTTATTATTTCCAATCTAGGATACCATGAGCCATTGTTCCAGAAGGCCTGTTTGCACACACATGCGACTGTATGTATAGAACACATTCCTACAAATAGAATATCTCAGTGAAAGAACACACATTTGAAAATTAATCATGTGCACTTTGAAATGACTTATCATTGGGGCAGAAATTCTTCTGTATCTTTTGGAGATTTGAGGGTGTCCCCAGAACATTGCAGAGTTCCTGTCTGTGGCTACTCACTTACACAGCAGGCCCCACAGCCTGCCAATCTTCAGTCTTGGCAACATCAAAGGCCAGGGCAGAGCCAGGGAGGTAATCTTCCCCTACGGCAGTGCCCTGTGAGTGACCGATAGCGTGAGGCTGGGAGGAGTCTCAGGGAGCCAAAGTCACTGCCCCACCTCTTTCCAGCCCTGTCTGAATCACTTATTGTGGGCCAAAACCTTGAGGAAGGTGGGGATTTGCATTCCAGTAGCACTGTTTCAGCATTAGCCTCAACTCAGACAGCTTTGGGGCAGTGAGGGACCTGTCCGTCCAGCATTGCACACTAGCTAGCTAATGGAAGGGCCCCGGTTAGGCAGTAGTATAGAAACTCCACTCAAGAGTCAAACCAGGTACCCCAGCTTCCTATTCTCAGCTCCCCTCTCAGCCCCCATGGGCTCAGGGCCAGCTTCCTACCCACCTAGAGCCCCACAGGCCCAATCCTAGCCCTTTCCTCATCCCAACCTAGTTCTGTACAGTGGGCTCCTGATCTAAGCCAAGTGTATAATCCTGCAACTCGTTCATGTCCAAGAGGAAGCAAAGATGACATCAGTGACGACGAGCTCCCTCACCCCCAAACACCATCACTCAATTTTGTGACCACCTGAGTTTTTAGAGTTGTAACTCTGACAAGCTCATTGGAATTTTATCATTCTCTTAGAAAACATGACATTTGGCAAAAGGGAAATATGTTTAATGGTTACCTACTTCTCTTCACCTAAACATAGGGGCTTTGTGTATATTTTCATTTTTCTAATTATGACTTAATGAAATGGGTATAATACTCCAATTTGCAAATGAGAAAATTAAAGTATATTCTGGTTACGTGGCTTGCTAAGAAAACACAGCCAAGGATTTGAATTTGTGTATATCTGACTCCAAATTCTATGATTACTATGCTGCAATATCTTAAGGAACAATTATCCATTTTTGGTGGCCTGGGCAGAACTCAGTCTCCCCTTCATCCCCAGGGTGCAAAGGAGAGTGTGGCTATAACTACCCCAAACAGGCGCCCAGCCTAGGAGGCGGCAGTGTCCCCAACCTCCCCTGTCTCCCACAGAAGCTACAGACCAGCCAGAGAGCTGGCTCCTGTCCCAGCCTTGCAGACACCTCATGACACGGCCTCAATTAGTCCTACCTGAGGAAATGACCAGAGAGTAAGGTAGATAAAATCAGCATTTGTTGCTTTTTACTTAACAGAAACTGCTGCTCCCCGGTCTTTGTTTAGACTGGATTTTTAATACCAGGGTTTTCTTAGGAAGCCCTTTTTACTGCTCTGGTATCTCCTTCAGAGCTCACCTCAAATGAACTCCTTGACCCTCTCCTTCAGTCCAGCAGGCTGAGTCCTCAGTCTGTTCCTGTAGCACTCGACCACCTTTTCATCCTTCTTGGGAAATTGTAAGTTAAATACTTAATCATATGATTAGCTATTTAATGCCTACTTATCTGAAATGGGGGTTCCAGGAGGGCCATCACCCCATCTGTCTCGTTCACATGTCCCCTCACCCAGCCCAGGGTGTGACACATAAATATTTGTTGAATAAACAATAATCCATTCCATTCCATTCTTGGATGGTTCTTAGTGCCTGGGGTTTTTTCACAACCGTGTCCCTCTCAAGTCTTCTGATATAGGAGACCTCTGGCGTTACAGTCCTCTCCTAATCTTACCAATATTTAATGAGCCCAGTGCCGGGCTTTGAGAGGAATGCAAAGATGACTGAGATACTGCCCCAGCCTCTGGAGACACCAACGCATTGCCATTTTGTCCTGCAGTGTTTTTTCTGTTAATCGCCTTACTCTGTTCTGCTTCCGGCAGTGGTGAGACGGCATTCAAAGCCATGATGGAGTCCTTCGGCTGGGCCCGGCGCCCCATGCTGGAGCGCATCCACTTGATTCGGAAGGATGTGCCCATCACCATGATCTATGGGGCCAACACCTGGATAGATACCAGCACAGGGAAAAAGGTGAAGTTGCAGCGGCCTGACTCCTACGTCCGAGACCTGGTAGGTTGGTCACCCAAGAAGCGGGAGTTGAAGTGCTGTGAACTGAATGCCACACATGTTGGCTGCCTCTCCGTCAGTCAGCTCTCAGCCTTCGGGTAGAGAATGGGGGTCAGAGAGTCAGAGCAAAGAGAAATGGACAGATTGAGATAGGACAGTAGGTTTGGAAAGTTTGACTGTCTTTGTAATATCCTAATTCTTTGTAGCCCAGTTCAGCTGAAAGGCAGGTTCTTGTCCAGTAGCTGCCTCTCCAGCACCCCTGTGATTCCTACCCAAGACCAGAGCTTCAAGGACTTCCCACCACGTTCTGCCTGCCTTTTTTTCTTATGCCCCCCTACCCTTATTTGCGAGTGAGTGTGCTTAATTAGGCTAGGTGCCACCCGGGGGCCCTTGTTTACTGGGCCTTTGGATGAAGTGAGCAGATCGGCAGTGCTAACGTCGAAGGAGAGACCCGGTGAACATCCACAGAAGTAGAAGGGGATATTGGGATTCACTGGCTCCCAAAGGAAAGTACCGAGATTCGGGGAGAAAGGTGGAGCATTGTTTCTGATAAGAGCTTGTGGGTGGCAGCAAGCAGTGTAAGGGAAAAGAAATGGTGAGTGAAGGGCCGTGTCACCGCTGGGGGTCCTCTCTCCGCAGGAGATTGAGGGTGCGTCGCACCACGTCTATGCCGACCAGCCACACATCTTCAACGCCGTGGTGGAGGAGATCTGCAGCTCGGTGGATTGAGCTGCTCTCTCTAGAGGAAGAGGAGAAAGCCAGAGAGTCACTCTCGCCTCCCTGTCTGCTTACTCACCCTTCTGTCCTTTCCTCACCAACTAACACGTGCCAGCCTGGCAGAGCCTTGGGCTGTCCCCAGGACAGGACCACAGTGACAAAGAGCACTCCTGACCCCACGCTAAGGGCTGGAAGTGGAGCCACAAGAGGCCTTGAGTGCCCCACCCTGGGAAAGAACATAAAGGGTTGCACAACATCACCTATTCTCTCCTTGCCAAGTGTTGCCTGGATAGTGGTTGTGAAGGATTGCACTGAGCTACGTTCCCTCCCTGTGTGGCCTTTTCTTCCTCTGGGTAAAAGAGGGCTCCCAGCCACATTTCCTAGCTCTAGAGTGTTTGTGGGGGTAGGTCCCATGCAAGAATATCTTCCACCTCCATCATTCCGTCACCCCCATCCCATGCCAGTTCCATCCAGGGTCTGGCTGGGACCGGTTCACACTTACCTACGAAGAGCAGGTCCCGGAGCTCCCTTCACCTGCAGAGTCCGTTCCACGACCTAAGAGGTCATATCCAAAGCCCTCTTGACAGATGAGGAAACGGGATGTGGCTGGTCTATGGTGACAAAGCTCTGTATGATATGATTCCAGCAGAGTTAAGGTTAGAACCCAGGTCTGCTGACACCCAGTGCTTATTGCACACTGGATTTGCTATAGTTTAAAGGAGGCACCATTGCCGTGGGGCTGGTCCTGGTCACTGGCCTAGGATAAGCCCATCCCTGCCACACGTTCTAGCCCCATTTTTCAGGGGTGCTGTTGTCCTGCCCTGTGTCTCGGCCTGGCTGCCTAACCTGGGGACACAATGCTTCCTTCCTTGCCGCATCTTCCACAGGAGGCCTCTGAGCCTCCCTCTGTGCCTTGGGCCCCGAAGCCCCACACGTAGTATAGAGCAAAAGTGGCCCCTGGTGGAGGAGGGAGGGAAAAGCCCTTCCCCTCAGAGCCACGTCTGGGTTCTCCATGCCCACCAGTATCTGCAGCATTTTTCTACCTGCCCCCAGAGCTGAGGCTCACCGTAAGCCCCTGCCCATGATCCAGTTCCCTGTCCTCACCAGCCACAGGGTGGCTCCCACTGCCTGACCCTTTGTCCTTGCCATCTGTCCCCACGGTCTCCAGCTTATCCCAGCCCTGACCTATATGTCAGCTGTCTCCCAGGCGCAGGCTCCATGTGCTGCTCTGAGGCTAGGGGCAGTGGGCTGGGCCTGGCCCCAGAACCAGGGCAGCTCCTGCCTGCTCCTTCACTTTTGTAAAGCCAACCCTTTCACCAGAATAGCATTAACTCCTGGTGCTTTGTACTACTGGTCCAGCTGCCTTGGGCTCCTTTTCTATATTAATAAAGAAATGAGTTAAAAAACCGCCAGCAGTGATGATGTTTAATATTGCTCTGAGCAGAGTGCCGGGTACACTGAATTCACAAGAGCCATGTGATGCTTGAGTCAGAGACGGGCGCCCTGAGAGGTGCCTGCTTACCCACCACTCCCTTTCCTATCAGTGTGGTATTTGCCCTCTGGACCCAGCCAGAGTCCCGGTCAGCATGGGCCCTCTCAGCCAACCTGCCCTCAGCAGACGAGGAGCCCAGATCCAGAGTGATGGGGAGAGCCCCAGTTTACAGGAGAAGAGTTGGGCAGAACTGAGAGCTCCCTGATGCCCATTAGATACCTTATCTTCCTAAGTTCAGGTGGGCCTGCACACACACTGCTCCCCACGGCCTGTCTTCCGAACTCCTACTCATCCTCTGGATCCTGGCTCAAACTTCCCTTGTGCAGGAAGGCTTTTCCTGACTCCCCCGACTAGACTTGGGCCACCTGTTCTGTGTCTCCATGGCATGTTCAGTTGTCCCTTTTGTAAAGCTCATAAACTTGTGGCTCCTTAGTTAATATCTCTTTACTCCTAGACCATTAGCTACATAAGGACAAGGGGCATGTTTGACGCGTAGTTCATGTCTAATAAATGTTTGTTTTGATAAAGCCAAAGGGAGTGAGATATGCTAAGTGCTCATAAAAGTGTTCAAAGCATTATCAACACTGCCTGCTCTGTGCTGGCTGAGTCCAGCTCGGCACAGAAGTCTGTAGCTCTTAATGGCTCATAATACTCCGTATGTCCCAGTGGATGAATGAATGGGCGGGACTCCTCCTGGGTATGATTACAAAGGTCTGATCCGTCCTAGGACCTGGGTCTCCCCTGACTGAGGATGGCTCTATGGAGGGAAAGGCCGGCATTTAGAGCCTACTACATGCCAAGCACCAGGGCTATGATAGGGAAGAAACATATAGTCCCTGCCTGTATGAGAAATTCCAGTCTACTTGGAGAGACACACCTCCCATGAGAGTTGAAGAAAGTCTCTTACAGAAGTGATGACAGCTGGCGGAGCACAGTGGCTCACGCCTGTAATCCTAGAACTCTGGGAGGCTGAGGCGGGAGGATCGTTTGAGGTCAGGAGTTCAACACCAGCCTGAGCAAGAGCAAGACCCCCATCTCTACTAAAAAAGAAATAAAAAAAAAAAAAAAATATATATATATATATATATATATATGTAAAAATTAGCCAGGCATGGTGGCACATGCCTGTAGTCCCAGCTACTTGGGAGGCTGAGGCAGGAGGATCGCTTGAGCCCAGGAGTTTGAGGTTGCTGTGAGCGAGGCTGATGCCACAGCACTCTAGCCTGGGCAACAGAATGAGACTCCGGAAAAAAAAAAAAAGAAGAAGAAGTGATGACAGCTGACCGACCCTTAAGGCAGGGTGGGGGAAGGGGAAGGAGTGTCTTTGGAGAGAAGGGCAGGGAGGGTGGCTGGGAGATGAGTCTGGGGAGGTCAGTAGGGCCCAGCTCAGCAGACCCTCTGGCCACATGAAGAATGTTGTGTTCACCCTAAAAAGCAACTGAAAGAAAGGAGTGAGGGTCAGGGTGGGATGGGGAGTGTGACAGGATCAAACTGAGACTGGGACAGCCACTCTGGCTGCTCTGTGCAGTACAGATGGCAGAGGGATGAGGCCCTCCCTGCAGGAGAACTCTGAGGCTGCTATAGTGGTCCAGGCCAGAGATGCTGGCAGTTTGGACTTGGCTAGTGGCTAGTGCACACACATAGAGGAGAAAGATGCAAGATATGTTTAGGAGGTAAAATCTAAAAAACTTAATGTGGACACGGAGTGACACTACCACCCTCTTGAATGGGCTGAGTGAAGCAGTGGACACCAAACCTCCTCACAAAACAAAACAACCTGGAAGTATTTTTAAAAAATATAGATTCCTATGCCGTATTCCCCAGAGTTTGATTCAGTAAATCTGGATGGAATCTGACCACTAAATCTTCATTTAAAAACATTCCTAGGAGATTCTGATGCCCCATGTCTGCAGGCAGTGGTCTAAGGGACTCCGTGTCTCTGATAATTGACCCAGAAGGCCCGTGTGGAGGAGAGCCCATGCCCCCAAAAGTTCATCCTGCTTGCTCCAGAATCACTTCTCTGGGAGGCTGCACAACATGCCGGCCTTATTCCCCCAAACTCAACACAAGGCAAATGCATTCCTCAGGAGCAGGTGCAAAAAGAGTCTTAGAAAGGTCACACAGAGTGTCCTGTTTATGCTACCGGGCCCATGTGCATGGACATATGCCAGCATGCACACATTCCAGAACACACACACACACGCACACACTGCATCTGGCGGGAGCCTTCCTAGCATTCCCAGGGCTGGGACTAAGAAATAACAATGAACATACCATCCAGTTGGCACCATTCCTGGTGAGCTCTAAGGATTTATGGTGACAATCCAAGCCATAAACTTGGGATCTTCAAAAGCCTAGCAATTTAAAAGGAGAGATTCCACAGATAGACATAGAAGACTGTGACTCAGCATAAGGCCCAAGAGGTGCTGCACTGTTTAGTGGCTAGCAGGAAATGCGCTAAATTTAACTTTCTTCTCGGGACAGACACCAAAATACGTGTGCTAAAAAGTCAGTCTGGTTTCATTGCCAAAGGGTGGTGAAATCCTGGTGAATATTTCTCTTTACTCTGACACATCGCCCTGTAAGCCCACAACTGCAGGTACAGTTCACAGTCAGATAGAAAATAATTCCACTATTAGCTGATAACAAACATAACGTCCAATGAATGGTGCAAAACATTATGTTTCTTATCACGAGACCTTTCAATTCATACGGCGTCCTCCTTGGATGGGGCCTGCAGGGTCCTTTCTGGTCTCCCTCTCTGTTCTGTCCTTACTCAGGGTCCTGATCTGTCTTACAGAAGCAAGAAAAATGTGAGGTTTTGAGGGTCAGTCCCAACCCCTTCCTGGTGGAATATCTCAAGATAAACCATCTCTTCTCTTACTAATACTGACTGTTTTTCATAGCATAAGTTTAGTATTATTATGCCAGAAAGGTCTTTGTCACCATCCTACTAAAGATCAGTGTTCACTAGCGTTGAGGAGGAAAAACAATCACAGCCTCCTAGACAGAATACTAAGGAAGATTCCTTGATGCCGACAGGTGCACAGAGTCCTCCCTCCAACCCAGGAAAGCCACATCCCCTTGGTTGGTGACCCTGCTAAAGACCTGGGAGAGGTCCTCAGGCCTCTTAATGGCCGGTGCCCCTTTGTCCTGGAGTGTGTGCTGAGGCCCATGGTAGAGTTTGTGATGACCCAGCAACCCCATATTTTAGTTGACACACGTGAGAACAAATTGCACACCCTGAAGAAACCTGGAACATGCTAGTGGCTGAGGAGGACTCTGAAGGACACTAGGTGTCCTTGTAGGTGAGATTTTCATCCCCTTGGTTTGAAGAGTCTGACTTTGGAAAAAAGGAGAGAGCATGCGGCCAAACAGCTGGCAACATATGCCATGTCCAGGAACAGGATTTTTGGGAAAGCTCATGACTTATGGTAGAAGGTTTATAGGCTCCTAATAAATTATGAGGTAACTGACACAAAAACTGGGCATCATGTACTTTCTAAAATTTTTAAGGAAAGAGAAAATTGTCCAAAAACAACTGCAAAACCATGTGTTATATTAACAGCAGGAGTTTCCTACACAGGTCTGCGGGCTGGAGCTGGTTCAGGACAAAGTATTTCTGGCCTATAATGAAATAACACTTTTTTCAATATTTTTAAATTCTGAAATTATGTATTTTCTAACCTTCTTAGCATTAAACTATTGTTTTTTTCGTGAAAAGATTCTGATAATCTATTGATTGTTTGAGGGGGTGGAAGGAAATGTCATTTTTTTGTTGCCAAACATATCAATGTCAGGGATTTTTTTTCCTGTATTTTTAATTAATATTAGTAAAATCCTAAAGTCTGGGAAGTGCTGTATTACAGAAGACCAGAGTGGGAGAGGAACTTGAATTTTAGATAAATAGATCAATCATATTGATCTCATGACTAGAGGATGACTGTGGAAAGATAGTGTTCAAAGAAAGCAGATCTAATTAAAGGAACTCAACATTAGCATGAACCACAAAACTGAAAGTGGAAGTATTCGGATGGGGATAAAAGAAGAAACAGGAACAGATGTTAAGAGGACACGGATGATACTTTCTTAATTCAGATTGCAAAATTGGTCACAGGCCAGTT